AGCCACAGCTTCCCTGGGCAACCTGGGCCAGGCTCTCACCACCCTCACAGCAAAGAATTCCCTCCTCATGTCCAGCCTCAATCTCCCTCTTCCAGTTTCAATCCATCCCCCTCATCCCATCCCTCCCTGCCCTTGTCCCAAGCCCCTCCCCAGCTTTCCTGTTGTCCCCCTGGTGCAGAAAGGGATGCATGCAAAAAAAGAGGCAGGAACAGCAAAATGCAAAAAAAAAAACAACCCAAAACCAAACCCCAACCAAACTGGGAGGGGAAGGCGGGCAGGAGGGAAAAATGGATAGATGCAAAAAAAGGGCCATAGAAAGGGAAGCAGCAGGATGTGGAGATGCCAGGGAGGGATGCAAGAATGGGAAGGGGGAAAAAAAGTGCAGGAGTGGGGAAGATGTGAGAACACAACTCAACGAGTGAGGCAAGGGTGGGAAAGTGCAAAGAGTCTGGGGATGCAACAGGAATCCAGTGATGGAAAGGGGCAGGCATCTGGGGGTGCAGAAATGTGAAGGTGCATAAAAGAGTGAGAGGATGCAGAGGAGTGGGAAAAGATGGGAAAATGCAAAGCTGCAAAGGGGCAGGGATGCAGGGATGGAAAGGGGCAGGGATGCAGGGATGGAAAGGGGCAGGGATGCAGGGATACAAATAGGGATGCAGGGATACAAATAGGGATGCAGGGATGCAAAGGGGCAGGGATGGAAAAAGAGGGGGCAGGGATGGAAAGAGGGGGGCAGGGATGGAAAGGTGCAGAGTGGGATTAAAAAAGGCAAAGAACAAACATGAGGGAAAACCCAAACAGGCCGGGCAAGAATGGAGAGGTGCAAAGAGGGGTGCAGGGGGTGCCGGGTACAGGGGATGCGGGGGGTGCAGGGGACACAGGGAGCCAAGCAGGAATTTCAAAGGTGCCCTCGAGTGTGAACCTTCCTCCCCCTCCCCCTCCTCCCCTACGTCTCTCACTGGGGGTCAAAGTCTGCCAAGGCCTTGAGGGCCTCGGGGGCCCGGACCAGCTTGTCCAGGATGCTGACGATGTCGGGGAACTGGGGGCGCCGGGCGCGCTCCTGCTGCCAGCACTGCAGCATCAGCTGGTAGATGGCGGAGGGACA